CACAGACAGCCACACCGCCGCCATTTTGCAAGGCTTACATGTAGGTATATCTTCTTACTCTGGTGGTGAGCGGAAGAAAAGCTTGCCTCGTCCTGAAACAGAGGTACGTCTGTATGCTTCGGGGTGCAATTCTGCAATCCTGCTAAATTTCTGGTTTCTAAGGCGAATACGACAGCTGAGGTAAAATCTATTGACGGCTTAGCGAATATATAGAACACCTACAGATGGCCTCCTTTGTCATTCGTATTCTTTGCTCACAAGAAAGAGCTAGCTGCAGTTGTAAAGATTGTCTGCGTCGCCGGTGTTGGGACGTGAACGGGCTTCGTCCCGAAATTTCCGAGCATTTTCCCGAGTTACGAGCCATATTTTGTTTCGGATTTGTTTGTAATGCACTTTTAATTATCTAAGATGCTTGATATTTATTATATTTATTACAATCCAGGGCAGAATAATAAAAGAATTTCAAACAATCGAAAAACGAAACGCTCGAATATACAAACAGAAACAAAAATAGGAAAAATTATTTGAATAAAAGTAGCCAACCAAGACTCCATACTGGGTGAGCCACCATAAATGAAGTTATTCTGAAAGCAATAATTTAACAGTGATTCAGGATAGATTAAGACAAACTTAATTAAGATGATAATACAATTAAATTTCAATACGGAGTCGGAAAAGTATTCATATTCCGATTCCACACAGAGGACGGTAGAGGGATGGAAGGGGTGGTTATAAATGTGAGGCGGGTTAAATGGTATGTTTAAAGTGACAATGCAATGCAATGCAATTCAATACAATTCAATAAAATGCAAAGCAGTGTAATACAATACAATGCAATGCAATATAATGCAATACAATGCAATACAATACAATGCAATCAATACAATGTAATGCAATGCAATACAATAAAATGTAATACAATGCAATACAAGTTTATTGTGTAAAATACTTAGCTATATGTGAGGTGTGACATCACATGATAAAATGACACCAGCTAATTTGCAGGTATTCTGCAGAAATTAAAATTAGATGTAAAAATCATAATGGATGAATAAAACTTTTAATAGATATATGAGTCAAGATCATGAAATACAATCTGAAATAATTACATGTTATGCTAAAAGGTAAAAACGATTATCATATGTACAATCAATGAGATAATGTGTTGTTCACGAAATGGTGGGAGGTTCTGTAAGATAAAAAAAATTAAGGAAATGTATAAAGCGTAACTGGAATTTCCCGAGGGGTGGGGGGTCTTAGGAAAAATCCCTTCCGTGGGGGACGTATGGATATTTTCTGGAACTACACTATTATGATAATGTGACCTGTCTGGCTGGGTTTGGAAGGTACAATGTAGATAGGTAGTCCTGGATCCCTGTAGCTGCTTGTCAGAAGGTAGTAAGTAGGTATGTAAGCATGAGAAGTCGAGAGAAGGTAGGTGGGTAGGTAGGTAGGTACTTAGTTAGACAAGAAATTCCTTCACATAAAAGCCTCTGAAAAACTCATAATTTCTTTGATAAATTTTATGGTAATTTCATCTCTTGTTTCCTTTACAGTCATGTCATATTCACGAAATGCCACAAGAGGCAATAAATCTCGTTCTCTCAGTGGTGAAGAAGAGCGCATACTAATCCCTAAAGACAAAGTGGGACTTGTTATAGGAAGAAAAGGAAGGACCCTGCAGGAGATAAGGGATAGAACTGGTGTCCAGATATCCATAAAGGATAATCACGCCCATTTGAGAGGGACAACGGAACAATGCAACAACGCTAGAGAGCTAATTGAAGAAATCCTGAGTGTAAGTAAAAGAGTTCATAACTAGTAGTGATGTAAAGTATATATGAAATAATTTATATTTGAACTGCGGTAGTAGATGAAAGTGAAGAATGATCATCGCAGTAAATTTTCCAATTTAAGCTGAAGTGGAAGGAAGAAGCCTGAAAAAAAAAATCAGGGCTTCAACGGGATTCGAACCCGAGACCTCCGCGATACCGGTTGAAGTCCTGATTTTTTTTTCAGGCTTCTTCTTTCCACGTACTGCGATGATCATTCTTCACTTTCATAACTAGGAGTGTCAGTTTTCGACTCTGGGGACGTGACCAGGTTATTTACAGAACAGCAATTTGCACCGAAGATAATCAATCATCGATTGTAAAGTAAGAGACTGAAAAGATGATACGATACACAAAACATATTGTGATGGGTCGAAGGTACTAGAAAACAAAATTGTTTTTATGTCCTTCTTACGATCTACTCACTTACGATTTATTTATTTATTTATTTATTTACTCGGAGAAGTCTTCTCGACTCTATCAAATTGAAATGCGTTTCCCTGAGTACTTCTTAGGGCGCAGTAGAGTGCTATGCAAACAGACTTCCCTTTAAATGAACTGTTAATTATAATATGCTAGGCTGAACGATAGCTTTTGTTGTTATTGTAGTTGTTTTACGTTATCCTTTTTCTTCATTTAATTGCATTCATTGGCGCTGATTCGATGAAGCAATTGATTGAGCAGAGATGAGACATGGGCTCAGTTCTACAGTTTTGAATAAACTAACTGGCCGAGCACACTCTGTAAGAATTTGGGGTTCATTTCTTCTAAGATCATAAGCATTTTTTTAGTGTGGGTTGCTTTACAGAGTGCCCGTGAAGAAAGAAACTCAAGTCAAGGAGGATTTAGGAAGTTGGACATGGTAATACCTGAAAGATTCATGGGTCAAGTTATTGGAAAAGGGCGTGAAAAACTGAGCAATATCGAAACTAATACTGGGGTGGCTCTGAAAGTCATCGATAACAACCTGTACATCAAAGGATCAGCTGAGAAAGAAAAGAAAGCCATACGAGAAATAAAGGCTATTGTGGTAAGGAGATGACTGAATAACTAGCTTAAGAGTTCGGAAATGTCCATTGCACTCCTAAGTGAGGAGAGAGTAATAGCCTTAAAAGAAGCAGTCCTGGTCAATTCTTCATAAGGTAAAATCCAAACCGAAAAAGAGTGTTACTTCGAAGTCAGTCTCACACAGTTTTGATTTTTATCTCGGAACATTAATTCGTTGATCGTTCTCGGTTTGGTAGAGGAGTCAACATGTACGGCGACAGAAAGGTTTGCGGCACTAGTCTTGTAACTGCGGAGTCCCTGTTTTAGTCCTGTATCTCGATCCGGATCCCATTTGTTGAAGCATATTTTTCTCGCTAGTCTTCAGCTCTACTCAATCACCGGTCATTTTGGATTTGTGTTTGAGCAAAACTCGTACAGGGAAATGACGTAATTACGGTGACATCATCGTTTTCGAAATGTACTGTTTTCAGGATATTTTCCGCCAAGCCGGCGTTTTCAAATTCCTCCGGTTTGAAGAGCTTTTTCGAAAAGCTCCGTTTCGTAACGGATTAGTGTGGACGATAGGCCTAACTGTAGAAATAAAGCTGCGTTTTCCAATTTCTTCGGCGTAGTGTGGACAGGGCCTAAGTGGCATGCCTGGCCATTATCCCGATCTATATTTCACTAGATAGGTAGAGGCATTATGAATCTGGGAGTAACTGAGTTTGTAGCCTGAGAGCAGAAAACGAGGACAATGCATACCAAGCACTGTGTATACTATAATTAGCTTTATAATATAGATAGAACCCTGCGCGCGCTTAGAAAAAGCGTGTTTTATTGTTTTTGGCCACATTACCTCATCATAGAGAAATGTAGAAATGTAGAAAACACTCGCCTGCGGCTCGTGTTTTCTACATTTCCCTCGTGTTCTCAAATGCCCGTCGTGTTTTATCACAGTGTAATACACGGCTTAGGCTTCTTTATTTGTTGAATAATTTTATCATCATTTTCTCTTGAAGAATGCTGCAATAAAACGCTCCCAGTTGGCTGTACCTGTTGCACGATTTGTTCATGTTGACGCGACTCAGTTAGAAGAGAACCACGAGTTTGAGCTGTCCGCAGCGCCCCAACTCAAAGCCGTCTCAGGAGAGAAGTGCTTCAAACTTAAACTACTAGAGCATCCGTTAAAAGAGGTGTGTCATTTAACTTGAATTTAGATTAACCAAAAAAAGCTCCGGATGTGGTTTAGCTGTATTTAATAACCAGATTATGAGCTTGAGATTTCTATCGCGTGGTAGTTGATGAGGGCGCACCTCAAGTCAACTATCACGCATAGAAATCGAATAATCTAATTGTTTCAGTATAAATCTACTAGTCGTTTTAAACTTTATCTAAATCCTCTTGACAGACACGTAGAAACCACAAAGAAGCGGCCGTCGTACTATTCGCAAAAGAATAGATAGTGAATAGCTTAGCCAATCGGAGAACGGCATTCGTGATAGCTGATAGACTTCAATGAATATATATTGTATTCCAGTACTGCACTTTGATTCTGTATAACAGTTACTCACTTTGATTGAGCACTTCATCAACTGTATGTTTATAAGCACCGCTACTCAGTTTTCAGTACTGTCGCTCTCTCAGGTGTTTCTCTTTTCGTACACGCCTTGTGAGCTCTCTAATATAAATGTAACTTCGATCTTACTCGAATTTATTTTTCCATTGACTAAATATGGGTAGGTAACAAGAGGCATGTCAAAGGTCCTTATAGAACCACAAAACGTTAATGATTGTATAATCAAAACCGCATCTCATACTTCAACAGGAAACACCTTTTACTTCAGTTGAGATAAAAAGCTTGGAAGAAAAGGTCCTTGAGGTTTTAAAACAAATCCGTAAAGAGAAGGACGAAGAGATGGTCAAAGTGGATATGTGGTGTCATTTCGGTCACGCCTACGTAACTAAGGTTGATGAAGGTGAGATGTTGTCTCACTTGTTTGCTTTTGAGAAAATAAATAAGTTAATTCCCTCAAGGTGCCTTTCGGACTAAACTTGGCTGAAGGCTTTGATAAGACCCCTGGCTATCAACTCACTTACAATGCTGCAAATTAACTGCGTTTTATTTCAGTTTTGAGGAAAGGAGACGTTTTTTAATTCAGTATTCGTGTCAGTAAATTTTGCAGATCTCATATCTAAGCTATCAGTCAAAAAACGCAGTATTTTACAGCTGATAGTTAAAGTTTTGCAGAAATTTATACTTGCTCATCTCAGCCCAGACCCGCTTTTGAAAAGGGGAAGAGGCACCCCGTTCATTCGCCAGCTTCCTTCTCTTAATGTTAAGTAAACAGCTTTTTTGTGCTTTTTTTTTCTATTGTAGACGAAGAGAGGGAAACATTTACTCTGAAAGATATCAAAGAGAAAATTAAGTTTGGGGATGGCAAAAGCTGGAATCCATTCTTCAAAGCAGGCGTTGAGAGAATAAAAGTTGAACAAATCGAAAAGTATCTTACATCTTGTGCAGCTAAGGAAGACATAAGATACGACTTCACATTCTTCACTCCTTCGTTTAGAGGCGCCCGTGTTAAGGTATTTTATAATTGTTGTTGTTTGTTTTAATATAATTATTATCTTGATTATTGTTACAATAACCAACCTATTTACAATATTTTCATTACATAAAACAGCAACATTACTTACAATACTACTTGCAATACTAACCTTACTTACAAGTTGACAATACCACGTGTTATTTAGCATTNACCAACCTATTTACAATATTTTCATTACATAAAACAGCAACATTACTTACAATACTACTTGCAATACTAACCTTACTTACAAGTTGACAATACCACGTGTTATTTAGCATTCCATAACATGACTAATGCTGTAGCACTAATTCAACTTACAATTCTAACTTGACTTAAAATAGTAACGTTAATTACTGATTACGCGTTTCTTTACAATATCGTAAGTTTAGTTACAATGATACTAACATAACTTACGAAACTAACACGACTATTTTATAGTTACATGTAATAAAATAATCACTACATTTTCCTGTGCCTGCTCATCGTTAATAGAGGGGAATCCCCTCTATTAACTATGGCCTGCTATACAGCCGCACGTTTATACACTGTCTGTGACACAGGCTCCATGTTCTTCTTAGGATATATCTATAAGGCCATATTTTCACAGCTGAGAAAAAGGAAAGGATGATAATGATATCTAAGAGAACCGCTTATTTTGTTTTAAAGCACTATCCTATTGCAAGCTGGCCTGTTTTTCAGAATTTGACTTGAACACTTCTGGTGTACATCTCTGAATACTCCAGGCCCCGGTGACGGTTGATGGATAAGGCAATCCACCAGATAAATTGCTATTCTGTAGATAAGTGTTAACAAACCAGCTCTGTACGTCATAATTATCCGCTGGATAGTGATTTAATTATCCAGTGGACAGCGTTATCCACCTTTCGAACAACCCAGGCCAGATGCACACTACCTATGGCGCGTGCGTCTTGAATACTCTAAGATATTTTCACTTTGGTGCTGAGCATCTGAAATTTTGTTTTTCTCTATGCAAAATAATACGTTGCTCTGTTGTTACCTCATAGGCATGGCTAACCGAGGAACATTCTCAAGCCGAAGGCGCTAAGGCAGCCTCCTTGGCGTTTTCTCGCAACGCGCCTATTCCTGTTAAGAACATTTTGACCCGAGTGGTGTCTGATGAGCATGCGCAGACCGAAAATACGTCGAACACGCCGTGCTTCCATATCTGCTCTCAGTTTCATCACAGAATGAAAGTCGACATTTTGATACCCTCCAAAGAACTTGATTGCCGTTTATCAATACGAACAGGTAAGTGGCATTACCGGGAGAAAACTTGAGCAAAGTCATTGCTAATTAAGTCCATTGTTCTTTGCCATGTTCTTTCATTACTGTAAATCCTCGAATTAGCGCCGCCCCTCGCCCTCTTATCAGCCAAAATTTGAAATAAGCGCCCTTCCTCGATTAAGTGCACCCCTCCCCTCCTGTTTGACATGACAGATTATGCCAGTTTAATCCTTAATTTTCAACTCTAAACTGGCCAATGATAAGCTTGAATAGGTTGTTCTAATCGCAGTTGCCTATTGGTGCCACAGTTTATGTTTTTTTTTTCTTTAGGTCCAAATGTTCTCAAGACACCAGAAGCTGAAGAAGAAAGCAAAATTCTAGAAAGTTACTTGATGGGAATGAAGATTGAAGAAGGTCAGCTGGTGTTGCCACCAGTCTGCGAGCGTCCAGATGGGTTTGATCTGTTTTACCAGCGCCGCAGTCTGAGGAAAACTTACCAGTATGAAATAGATGGAGAACAGTTCAGTCTTACTGTCTGTAAAGATCAAGCAAACAACGTGGATATCGACGAGACCGATGTGAAAAGTTTCGATGAAACACCTTTAATGGTATAATTCTTAATAAGGCCAAATGAGGAGGTAGCGTAGCCGAGTGGCTAGGGAGCTGGACTTGAAATACGGAGTCGTCAGTGCATGTCTCTCTCGAGCTCTGAGGTCAAGCTTTAGTCGTTTTATGGTAGACCCGTGTCAACTAGCTTCATCTCCTCGCCCCTCGCTTGCAAATAGCCATCTGGTTGGCCTCCTCAGTGCCAGTTAGGATATT